AGGCAATTCTTTCAAGTATATAGTCGCTGACTGATTTATTGTAAATATGTTATGAAGAACAGATGTGAAATAGGGGTTACCCTGTTTTATGGTTTAGTTAGAAGAGTGACGTATTACACGTACTACTACACAGAAAAAGGTTTATCTCGGAAATAATTTTAATAGGTGAGACTTGCACAACACAAAAACAAAAAAAGGGGTTTCAATTAGGTCACATTGGTAAAAAAAAAAAAAAAAAAAAATCAACGTTTGTACGTTTTTACAAGTATAAATTCCTAGTAAACGTAAAAAAAGTTCAAAATTGCAATCAAAAAAATAAATAAATATTCTGATTTTTAATTTATAAAGTGAAGTGCATTTTTCACATTGTTGAACATAAAAAAGCGTTAAACAAAAAACAATAAGTTTTATTTTGATTCCGATTTAATTTTACAAAAGTTCATGGAAAATAATTGCGTTCTATTCACTATAAAAAATAAAGTACTGCCAATAAGAAGTTAATTTAAGATTGCAAAACTTATGGTTGAGAGTGAGACCAAACAAAATCGCAGATTTTTCGAACAATGTGTTTAACTCGAAATTTTTTCCATTTAAAAACTGTCAGAAATAGGGCTACAAAAAAGAAAGAGGTTTTCTTTCACACACTGTAAGTTTAGTAGCGTAGAAAATAAAGTATTTTTTGTTTAAATAAAATAATTCATTACTCAAAACACCCACTTTATGAAGGAAATGACGTGAACTTTTGTAACTTTTTTTTTTAAAGCAAAATCAGAAGGAAATCTCAATTAGGTGAAAGAGAATTAAGAATAGGAGGATGATAGAAATAATAATAAAACGTTAAAAAAAAAAAACTATAAAAAGAAACGAAAAATTAAAGTTTTTCTTTCTTTACCTGGTAAAAGCCACTGACTTAAGCACTTCTCCATATCCTTTAAAAATTGTTGTTTAAAAATAAAATCATAACCTAAACTCGCGTCTTTTGTAGGTAATTATGAATTACGTTTTTTAAAATCCTGATCAGGTAAATGATACATAGGTCAAGTATTTAAAGGTTAGTAAGGGGAACGGCCGTAAATCCATAGTCATGAATGGGTCACCTGTAGACGTTACGGTAAGGTATCTGATCACAATATGAAAGCACAAACCACGTGACACACGTTTCACTTTTCTCTCCCTTCCTTCGAGGGAGAAGATAATCAACAGGTGGGGAAAACATCTTTCATTGAATACCTTTGGCATTCGTTCGTAAACAAAAAAAAAAGAAAATGATAAATAATGAATGACAACAAAAAGTAAAACAAAAACGAAATAAATCAGGTTTGTAGAAATTGTGATCCCTCCTTTTTACTTTTTTTTTTTACACATTATTAGTAGTTTATTATTTTTAAATTTAGCCAATTCGTAGGAAAAATTTAAATTCAGTAAAAAAAAAAAGTATATTGGGGCGTATAAAACTAAAAGTCGGTTCTTTTGAAAGCCTTTTTTGTTCCATTCATTATTTCAATAAAAAAAATAATCAAACAAAAAAACTGGCACAATGAATGTGGGGGGTGTGTGATATTATTGTGCCAAGTTAGGGGTATGCAACTAATTTGATTATTACCAATTTATTCAGAATTTTAATTTCAAAGAATACTTCTTTCATTTTTTGCCCTGGGTAGTGCAGTGAAGTGGGTAATAATACGCCTCCGATTTCTAAATCAATAAATCCTAAATTTACAAACTAAAAAAATGTTTTTAAAAGAAAAACTAGAAGAAATCAAGCCAATGAATAACTCAAAAAAAAAAAAATAGTCAACTCCTAAAAAAATATGTTTAATTACGGCAGAAATTGCTTACTTCAAAATTTGGACAGAAACGAAACGTCATTTAAACAAAAAATGTATTTTTATATGGTTTTATTTTTTTAAGAATTTCTAAAGATTTTATTTTTTTTATTTAAATCAGTTCAACAGACTTTCTTTTAGTAGTTCATTGAATTAACTAATGTTTACAGTTTACTTTGATGTCAAACAACATTGCTTATTTTTTACACTTTGCTCAAATTCTTACATTACAAATTTTATGACTGATTTTTCGTACATATTTTTAAATGTGAATCAGTACAACATAAACTTAATTTCAATCATGACTTTGCAACAAATATAGCATAAATGAGATTAGGTTTTCCATACATGCTATATACAGATAATTAATTGAAAGGTTCTTTTTTAATTTAGTAGTTGTTTTTATTCACCAACAATTTCAGGTGAATGGTGAAGTCAAAAGTTCAAAACTCTAAAATCAGTGTCACATATTCACTCTTGATAAAATGTGGAGGGACAAAAAAGTTAATGTGAGAATGATTATAAAGTGTGATAGAAAAATAAAATCATTTTTTTAATCATCAAGAAAAGTAAAAACAAAAAATCAGTTAATTCAACTTTAGAATAAGAGAAAAAGAAAATATATACCAAGAACAAATTCTTTTTTCTCTTGTACATTGTGGAAAAATCACACTTAATATAGGTTGGCTGCAATATTTTAATCTAAAAATGTTGAGATCCATAAGTATGTGTGTTTCATTAATTTATTAAAAACAGCAAAGGAACACAGTCAACTTCATTTTGTTCTTGTTTATCACGAGAATCATTGGTAGTAAGTGATTTCAACATCCTGGAGTATAGTGAGCGCAGTGTAGAAGCAAAGATGCAGTTTTTCCTCACGTCATTCGAAATGAGGGAAGATGGTGAAAAGAAAAGTGAGTATGATGCCTAATTTGTTCAAAATTTACTTCCTTGAAGTGAGTGATCATAGCAAGGAACATTGTTAGCTCCAAAATTTCACCCTAACAGTGTCTCCTGCTTTTGTCAAGTTAACAATGACAGTATACAGGCTACTATTTTGCTTCTAACATTTTTCTTAGGCTTGCCACTAAGCAAAAAGTCAGTAGTGGCTATGATCAACCTTAAAAACACATTGAGTTGTGTTATAAACTCACATTAGCACGAGAAAATAAACAAAACAATAGTTACTGGCAATGAGGCAAAAGGAAAAGCAGACAAGAATTTTTAATATAAAATTCTTTGTATTGCTGACACAAAAATTGTGAGTGGACAATGGAAGTGACTTGAAGGAAGGGTAGAGCTGGTAGGACCTAAAGTTGATGTATGTGTTGGCTCATTTGACATTGAGAGCTATCTGAATAACGAATTTGCTGGAGCTTGCTTATTCGCTGTGATCTGATTCAATCATTATGAGCTGCATTCTTAAAAGCAAATATAGTGGCTCATAAACTCATCTTTTTTTTCATGTTTTTTCTTTGGCAGCAACATTCACAATTGGATTCTTTTATATTGTATTTTATATTTTTTGAAGGGATTTTTTTGTGGGCTGGATGTGATGCTCGGTGTTCCTACACAGAGGAAAACTTTTTTTTTTATTTTTGGTTTGGTTTGTTTTGTTTTGTTTTACGACATATCAACTTCAATGGGTTATTTAATGCCAACAAGATTTTCATTGCTGGTAATATTTTTTTCCTTCAAAAATGTATTGCTGGTAATATATTTTTTTCCTTCAAAAATTTATTGCTGGTAATAATTATTTACAAAAAGGTATTACTGTTAATATTCTTTCCTTCAAAAATGTATTGCTGGTAATCATTTTTCCTCAAAAAATTTATTTCTGGTATTAAAACCTATTTTTTACACATTCATAGTGTTTTGACCCCTGTTAAGTCGTTGAACTATTTGCCCATAGCTGGGAACGTAACAAATGCTACCACTCCAGGTCAGGGTGGACCTGGGAACACCAGCAATTCAGAGGTGGTTTCACACTAGTCAAAACCTCCTGATCAGAGGCCTTTGTTGTTGGATGTAGTTTATTGTCTTATCCAGAATGCTTAATTTTTGGTTTTACTTTCTTAGCATTCGGACAACTCAAGGCGGTGTAATGGTTAGCAAGCTTGTCTCGTTAGAACCATTACGACTGAATAGTGAGTTCGATCCTCACTGGGTTCCCCATACTTTCGGCCTTGTGCCACATCTAAGCTTAGAAAATCAATACTTTTGTTGCGGGGCCGATAAGGATGTCGCCCCCGCAAGCTTTACGAAGAAAGGTGTGAACAGCTAAAAGACAATGAGGGGACAAAGGCAAAGGTTTAAGAAACAATAACGTCGATTTTATTTATCCAAAATGTACAAGAGTTTACTCTGGAGAAATATGTTTGTATCGGTGTCGGGTTCGGTATGACTGTTTTTTTTTCTTCAGGGGTAGTTGATTTCGGTTGTATCGGCGAATCGAATGTAGAGTTGGTCGGCGGCGGTAGCTGGTCGACTGCCGGATGGGAGAATTGTCGGGACAGCAGCAGGTTGATTGATGTCACACGAAGATTCGTTGGATCGGTTAGGACGAGTCCGTAAACAGGGCCGAGTCAGTATAGTGATACGACTTCCAGGCTGGATCAACCACGTAGGCGGGATCGCGCCGAAGTGTAACACTTGATGAAGGCGATAGTCCCTGAACAGGGCCGAGTAAGAGAGTGATACGACTTCCAGGGCGGATCAACCGAGGAGACAGGATCACGCCGAAGAGTATTCTCTCGACAAAGCACATGAAGCTCACAAAGGTAGCGTACTACACTTTGATCCAGGGCGAGCAGCTCAGATTTGGACAAAAAAAAGGGCTAACAATATGTGGAACGATTTGTTCAAGTACTCCCTGGCTAGAGGGAGTAGAAAACTGTAGATATAAAATTACTCCCCATGTTCGATGTTTGGAAAAGCGCTGCCTAATCCGATGCTCACGAGGTACGGTTTTGGAGTCCACCATATTGGCCAGTCGTCCAGTTTCTCGCCTGCTGTTGGACTTAAATCTGCGGGATCAGGGGTTGTGAAAGTCAAGGTCGTTTTTCTAAGGAGCGGCTAATGGCGGCCACGACAAGGCCCTTGCCCTAGAGAATTGATCATATCAATTAATAATAATAATATTTTATGAAGGTCTTTAGGAAAGTGACCTCCTACTGGACCTGGTCTGCTACACAGGAGTCGCTGGGGTGTCGTCTGATGTCTGCGGTGCTGCGTGTGCCAGGTGCGCTGGAGTAGCGTTAGGGTCCGCAGAGCCGGGTTTGCGTCGTACCGTCGTTTCTCCAGAAAGGCAGGCTTGGTCCGATCGATTGCGACGGTGTCGGTCGTGTTGGCACACTTGATTGTAAGGTGCTTGTCGGTGCGCCGAAGAACCTGAAAAGGACCTTGGTATGCCGGTGTGAGTGGTCGTCTCACGGCGTTGTTCCGTACGAAGACGAATTCGCAACCCCGCAAGTGTTGAGGGATGTACGAATTCCTAGGTTTCTGTCGCGGAAGTGCATATTTAAGCCGAGCCATTTTGTGGCGGAGTTCCGCGACGAAAGGAGTTATTGGTTTTGAAATCGTCTGAAGGTAGTCGTTGAAATATTCACCGGGCAGCGCAAGAGGTGTACCGAAAACCAGTTCGGCGGGTGAACAACCTAAGTCTTCCTTTACGGTATTCCTCAATGCTAGGAGAATCAAAGGTAGATCGTCCACCCAATTGATAGTGTCAGGTCTAGTGGCCAGGGTGGTTTTAAGGGACCGATGAAACCTCTCGACTAAGCCGTTGGTTCACGGATGATAAGCGGTAGTTTTTATGTACTTGGCAACAAGTAGGTTGGTAAACTCCCAAAAAAGCGACGACTGGAACTATGCTCCCCCCGGTCGGTCGTGATGACTTGAGGCGCTCCGAAAGTTCCAATCCGCTCTCTCAGGATGGTCTTGGAGAAGGTGCTTGCAGAAGTGTCTTTTATAGGTATGGCGGTCGGCCACCGCGAAAAACGATCCACGACCATCAGAAGATACAGGTAATCCCGGCACATCGGCAGCGGTCTTACTAAGTCGACGTCTATGCGTGAGAACCGTGCATCGGGATTGCTGAAGGTGCCGACGGGGGATTTAGTGTGTCGGTGGATTTTACACTTCTGGCACTCCAAGCATGTGGAAACCCATTCTCGGATGTCCGCATTCATATTCGGCCAAATGAAGCGGTCAGTAATAAGTTTGACTGTAGCTCTCTTACTCGGATGAGACAGCCCGTGGAAATGTTGAAATACCTGTCTTCGAAGTGTCGGTGGGATGTAGGGCCTAGGGCTTGCTAGGCTGGTGTCACAATACAGGGTGCCGTTGCTGAAGGATGCAGGGAACTCCCGAAGCTTTAAGGAAGTATTTGAAAGCACGTCTTGCAGCGTGAGGTCGGATTTTTGTTCAGCGGCTATGGAATCTTGACCTAAGACGTCGGTCTGAAGAGGTTGAATTTCCGCTCGAGATAACGTGTCCGCGACTGCGTTGTCCTTACCCTTAATGTGACGAATGTCGGTCGAGAACTGTGACAGGTAGTCGAGATGCCGGATCTCGAGGGCTGTGTACTTGTCAGAGTTGTTACTAATCGCGGTCGTCAACGGTTTATGGTCGGTATAGATAGAACAATCTCGACCTTCCAGTAAGTGCCTGAAATGCCTGACGGCCAGGTAAATGGCCAGCATCTCCCGAGAGAAGGTGCTGTATTTTCTCTGAGCTGGCGAAAGCTTGGCCGAAAGAATGCGATGGGTTCGCGTTGTGAATTGAATTCCTGCTCAACCACCGCGCCCACTCCTGCGTCCGACGCGTCAGTTGTCAGGAACAGTCGCGTCTTCGGATCGTCGTTAATATGCGAAAACCTAGTGAAATTTGCCAATGTGGCCTTCGCTGTATGCGTGCAGAGCATCACCCTCCAACGTGATGTCCTTATTCCTTCTTTGCAGCAGGTTCGTCAGTGGCTGGAGAATAGTAGCACAATTCGGGATGAATCGACGATAGAAGTTGATCATACCGAGGAAACGTCGCAATTGTTTGATGGACGTCGGTGTAGGAAAATCCCGGATCGAGCTGATCTTGTCTGGCAGAGGTACTATGCCGTTTGCGTCGGTGTGGTGCCCGAGAAAATCGACACTGGGCACCCCGAAAACGCACTAGTCCAGGTTCAACTTCAGGCCGTAGTGCGGAAGACTTCTCGCAGGTGTTGCCTGTGAGAGTCGGCGTCTTTACTGGCCACCAAGATGTCGTCGATGTAAGCGTATACGTGCGGTGGTCCGCGCAGGACTTCATCTATGGGCCGTTGGAAGGTCTAGGCAGCGTTACGGAGACCGAATGGCATTTTTAGAAACTCATATAGGCCAAATGTTGTTGTGACTGCCGTTTTAGGGACGTCTTCCGCAGCGACGGGGATCTGATGGTATGCCTTTTTCAGGTCGATTTTCGAAAAGATGCGAGCACCCTCCAGTCCGGACGCAAAATCATGGATATGAGGGACAGGGTAGCGGTCTGGTACGGTCGGTGCATTCAATTTTCGGTAGTCGACGCATACCCGAGATTCCTTGCCACCAGGTTTAGGCACTAAGTGCAGTGGCGAGGCGTAAGGGCCATCGGAAGGACGAGTGATGCTATCACTCAGCATTTTGTCGAATTTTTCCTTGGCGTACACCAGTTTGTGTGGAGCGAGTCGTCGCGGGTGGGAGTGTGCAGGAGGACCTCTAGTCCTGATGTGGTGCTGAGGTTGGTGGTCACCTGAAGCAGTGGCTTGGAGTGACAGCGTTATATCTGTGAACTGTGTCAGGAGATCTAAGTACTCGCGACCATGGCATGTTGCGACGCTGATTCCTGTGGAGCTTTGACGTGTAGGCGTACCTAAGACACGGAGATTCGTAGTCGTGTCGGATAGGGTCCTAGGGTTCATATGGACCGCCAATGCGTAATGCGCCAGGAAATCCGCGCCGAGGATGGGTATCTTCACGTTGGCTACGGTGAATGTCCAAGTCAAATCACGTCGCATGCCAATGGTCAGAGTAAGGGTCCTTTCTCCGTACGTGTCTATCGCGGGACCATTCGCAGCTCGTAGTTTGAGCAGGGTAGGATTAGCGGTGTGGTCGTTCTGATAGGGTACCATACTGATGGCCGCACCTGTGTCTCCTAGGAATTTCAGTTTGTTCCGGCGATCCCAAACGTAAAATAGACGACATTGCGTGTTGGTACCGGATGAGTTAGTTGTGGCCACTCTCCGGTTTACTCGTTTCCCCGGGCCGACGGGTGTGTACAGGGAGGTCTACAGTTCCTGGCCCCATCACCAAATGTGCGATGAAACCAACAAATGCCCTGGTCGCTTCGCCGTTCTCGGCTAGGGGTTCGTCTCCGTTGTTGTTGAGATGGGTTCGGTTTCCTTATCCGTGGGCGCAGGGAGATCTGGATATCTCGAACTTGTCAATGCAGGTCGGCCAACGCCCGTTCTGTCTCACTCGGCTCGTAGCATTCGTGCTTTGCTATGTCGGGGGTGTGAACTGCGTTAACGCCGTGGTCAAACTGCGCAAAAACCAGGTCAGCAGATTCTGTCAAATCATCCAAAGGCGTGGCTCTCGTCATTGGGGCGATAACCTGAGCGACCGATTTGGGCAAACGCTCCAGCCGTAAGCCTCGAAGAACCTTTTCTCACACATTGTGCTTTCCCAGCTGGTTCCTCATATACCTGAGAAGCTGGGTTGGCGTCTTGTCACCTCTGGTAATGTTCCGTAGAATCTCTTGAATCCTCGGAACGCCCAGTACGCTTGAGGATCGCTTCCTTTAAGTGATCTTACGGTTCATGTTCGCGCAAATCGGAGAGGACATCAGAAATTTCGTCCATCATATCGGATGGGAGTTTCTGCATTACGTTTGCGAATTTGGCTCGATGTGAAGTGATGCGTAACATGGAAAAGATCGATTCTACCTACAAGAACCAGTTCTTTGCATAATGGTGGTATGCGGGTAGCGGTATGATCGCGGCCGTCATGTCTGAAGAATCGCTTTTGACCGACTCCATCATCGCTTAGCTGTCTCACGTCAGGAAGTCACCACTTGTTGCGGGGCCGATAAGGTTGTCGCCCCCGCAAACTTTACGAAGAAAGGTGCGAACAGCTAAAAGACAATGAGAAAAGGCAATAACGTCGATTTTATTTATCCAAAATGTACAAAAGTCTACTCTGGAGAAATATGTTTGTATCGGTGTTTGTCCGGTATGACTGTTTTTTTTCTTCAGGGGTAGTTGATTTCGGTTGGTCGGCGGCGGTAGCTGGTCGACTGCCGGATGGGAGAATTGTCGGGAACAGTAGCAGGTTGATCGATGTCACACGAAGATTCGTTGGATCGGTTAAGATGAGTCCCTAAACAGGGCCGAGTCAGAATAGTGATACGACTTCCAGGGCGGATCAACCGCGGTGACGAGATCGCGCCGAAGTGTAACACTTGATGTAGGCGATAGTCTACAAACTGGGTCGAGTCAGAATAGTGATACGACTTCCCGGGCGGATCAACCGCGGTGACGGGATCGCGCCGAAGTGTAACATTTGACGAAGGCGAAGTCCCTAAACAAGGCCGAGTCAGAATAGTGTATCGACTTCCCAGGGCGGATCGACCAAAAAAGTATGAGTCACAAGAGGCCCACTAACATTTTAAATTAAAGACGCGAATCTGACAGGTAAGCAAGAGGACAACAAACGACAAAATTTAATACAAAATTTATTTAGAATACAAACCAGAGTCCTTGTAGGTTAAAGTAGCATGTAAGTCCACAATTGGAAAGTTAAATTCACATGTCCGGTGAAAGTGTTGAAAAGTTGCTGATTAAGTCCAATGATGAACCTTCCCTATTATTTTAATCGAAGTGTACGGAATAGGTTATTTGAAGACTGGACGATATAGCCAAAGAGAAGAAAGTTCCATTCAAATGTCCGGTGCTGGCGTTGCGCAGTTGGGCGCACAGGTTATGTTATATCGTGCCACCCTCTAGGGGGTTCACCACAATATGAAACAAAATGGGAGGAAGATACCTGAAAAGTCTTTCCGACTTTGAAAGGTTTGCACTCTGACGAGAAGAAGGTTATCGTATACCCCGAGACGAATATTCCTTCTATCGCAATTGTTAGACTTTGCGCTCCTTACAACAAAGGCTTTGTTGTCGAAGAAGTCATTGTATTTTGTTCCAGTCTGGGTGGGGAAGGAGATGATTTATGGTTTATGCAGATTAACTGAAGGCTGGACAGAATGTTATTTCTCCTCGAAGCTATTTCTGTTTCTATTTTGTAGCAATGTGATGTCGCTACTTGAAAATGAATGTATATTATTATGTGTTCTTTTGCTTACTCGGCATTAATGCCGTGTTTTGGACGACACGATAGAAGGAATTTAATGAAGGTGATAAGTTCTTCTCTTCTCAACTGATTTTTTACTTTAAGAAACTTTGACGAAAGGTTTGATGCCTGTTGTCTAATGTGTAATGTGTGTCACTTGGTTTGAGCGAAAGGGATTGACTTGGAGTGTCATTTTTACGTCGGCTAGGAAAGAAAATTTGAGGCCATTGAGTTAGGTACAAAACCGGTAATGGTGGACGAATGATTGTGAGTGAGTCCGAATTTTTCTTTTCGATAACTCCAAAACTGTAGGTTTTAAAATAATTTAATTGTTATTTCGAGTTCAGCATGTATATTCACACGGAAATATGACGATTATGACGTGGGGATTAATAAGCAAATTTACCAAAGTTTAATTTGAAGTATAAGCACCAAAAGCCCCCCCCCCCAGTAATGTACCATTCTGATGTGAAATTGCCTGATTATTTTGAAAATGATATTAAAATATTGCGCTCGAGTACCGTTTAGTTATGGACAATGTAAGTTCGACTTCTTTCTCGTCGCGTAGACGTTCTGTCTACGCGACGAGAAAGAAGTCGAACTTACATTCTTCACCATTACTGGCTTTGTTTACATTCGTTTGCCTCGAGTAGACATGCGTGGAAATTTTACTTGTATTGATTACTGCGCAATGCGCGAAGTTTAAAATGAATGCGCTAAATTTAAAATAAAAATTAATTGCCTGGAAATTTAAAAAAAGGATTTCTTTTCCTTTTTTTTAATGATTTTTTTTTTATGTATCGTGAAAGTTTCTTGATTTTTGCAAGAATTTCCAAAACAATATGTTTTTCACTAGAAAAAAATAACGCACGTTCCATGAACGGATAAGAATCTGATGATTTCAAAGAAACACATGCTAGAAAGGATTACAAAATGTCAAAACATAATTTTAAAAATACTTTGGTCGTTCTTCCTAATAATAACGGAAACATTTTGACGATATAAACTTTGTTTTTATTACATTTATTTTTTTTTTTTTTTTAGAAAATCATTTCATGAATTATTGATAAATTACATTTACTGTGAGATTTTTGGAAAAAGTGTTCAACCAGGATATTATATTTTTTTAGAAAAGCTTTCAATTGTTTCTATTACAGTTTAATAAAAAAAAGAGTTCATTAATTAATAAAGCTTCAGTTCCACAAAGAAACAAACTATTAGAATTTGAGAACCATGACTACAATATTTTACAAGATCACGTTCTAGCCTTTCTTCTAATCCTTACTCCAAACCGTTTCCCCTGCTTTCATATCCTTGATTCTTATCCGAGATAAGAATATATTCTCTGACGAACGCGAGAGTTGGAAAATATAAAAAGGAATTTGACCATCATTACCCTGACCATGGTGCCATGAAGTCTGGGGGTAACGCTCACAACTTGTCGGGCCCTTGTTTCCACAAAGCAGATCCCAAAACGTTGATTCTTATCAGAGATAAGAATATATTTTCTAACAAATGAAATGGCCAGGAAATTTGTATAGCAAAAGTCCCCGATATTTTCCGAGCCTCTTTATCCTCATAAATACGGATAATTTACGCTTGTTTCGTAGTGACTATTCGACCACCGTCTGTGACATAGGTCGGCGGCAGAAAAGCAGTCATCTTCAAGAAAGAACTATTTGTTACAATATTTAACATGGCGTACGGACGAAAAAGGTTAAAACAAAACGATTTTAATTTTTTGCCAGAAAGAGAATTATTTTCCCAGGATATGGGAACAGATGTATGAATTTTGTTGAAACGGAATTCAGCTAGACACAGCTGGCAGGTCGGGTGAGGTTAAAGTCGTCTGCTGAAAGGTGCCAATGGGAAATTTTAGCTGACAAAATTTCCCTGAGAAAATTTATAATTGTGAGAAATTGTAAAGGCAGAAGATGACGTCAGAAAGGCTGACATCATATGATGGCTCCTCCTGAAGGAGGAGGGGATCTTCCAAGATTGGAAATGTGAAATAGAAAACAAAAGAAAACAACTGGCTGAATTTTGGGAGATTTGATAAAACCTACCTATTCGCCCGCACCACACAAGTTGAAAGGGACACCCACAAATACAAGTGCCCACGTGGGCCAAAGTTAGTTGGGGCCAGCCAGTTGCAGTGACAGTGAGGTTGCGACCGGGAGTTAAGAGATTTCTGATATAACGTTGCTTGCCAACCTGATGAAAAGAATAATATTAACTGCCCGCTGAAGAAAGACTCCGACGAAATCCTTGTGTTGTACTGGAAAGTCCAAATCACAGTACTTGAAGATAAATCCAGTTGTCTAGTCTGGCCACTCTTCAAAGAAGCTACCCGCAATTTTCGTTCCGTCGCCTTAGAACGGGTTGGGAAAAGAAGAAAAAGAACAAAGAAAGAACAGTAAATATTTTTTTTCTGATATAAACTTCATATCGTGACTTATTCGGGTGTCGTCCATTTTATTTTTTAATTTTGTATGCACGTGTTCAACTCCTTGGTTTAGCGTGGTTAAGATACTCCAGTGGAAATTCGGTTTGACTCTCTTAAGATCAAAATCACAACGTGGGTAAGAGAGGTCAGAGTTGAAGAGATCAACTTAGAGACCAGCTGCTGTGTCAAACGCCATCAACGACCGACGAGTGACCAAGCGAGCAGACCGGGATAGACCCTGAGTACCGCCATACCTGGTGACCGAACCAGACCTGGCCCTGAACAACGTCATACTTGGAGGCTGTGACCAGGCCGTGGCCCGGAACACAGTCATATACCTACTATGGGCTGTCGAAAAAGAACGTTCGTTGGCCCACTACTAAAAAACAATTGAGATCTGCCTCCTCACACCTAGAAGATATCTGTCGCAGGCCTACGAACTCGCTCAACTACGAAAATCGTATCTTCCGACAGTTTCCACCTCTACAAGAACTCATAGAACAAATCTATGAGTGTTTTAACAACAATCTACTACTACTCACTTAAAGAACTTTTTAGACGCTCAGAAAAATATTTTGAGCAAGCTTTTTCTTTTTTATGAACAGTTTTTCTTCCTTTAAAGTTAAAGGAATTTTCTTCTCCCTTTCTTTCTCTCGTATATCCTTTTACCCCCATTTTTGTGCATGTAAATAAACATGTCTTCCTTTATTGTTGCGTACCAAGTAGGAGTTTGAGTCTTTATTCTTAGGCCTGAAAAAGTCGCCTAAAAATAGAGAATTGTCCGCTCTAACCTTTCAAACCGTTGTTACTTTTTCAATTTTGTCGCGATTTTAACCTCATCCCATTCATGTGGGAAAGCCGGAATAAATTTCCCATATTACTTCTAAGTGGAAAAAAGGAATTTATACAACAAAAAAAAACTATTCAATTAAATCTTTATAAGAACATTTTCGGAAAAAGGGTTCAACCATGAAATTATATTTATTTAAAAAAGTTTTCAATTGTTTTTATAACAAATTTAAACCAATTTAATAAAAAAAGAAAAACTATTCATTTAAAACTTCATTTAAAAAAAAGTATTTTAAAATAAAAAAGCGCATTTTAAAATAAGATCCGCGAAAATTGCGCAATAATCAGGATGAGTTAGATATGAAAAGCTGAAAAGCGCGGAACTTTACTTAGTTAACGACCTTTTGGTCGTTAACTAAGTAAGCTTCTGCGTATTACCGCTTGAGGCAAACGTATGTAAACAACACCAGTACTGGCGACCGGACAACGTGAAAGAGATCGAAATTACATTGACGATAAATTGTAAACGGTAATCGAGCGCAAAGTTTTATGTCATTTTCGAAATAATAAGGTGATTTCACACCAGAATGGTATATTCTCATTACCGGGAGCTGCAAATTAACTTATTAATTACTCATACATCGTTTTTTCGTACGTAACGTAATTGAGTTTTTTTTAGGCACCTCCACTTGCTCGCTGAAAAAAGCCCCAAACTTAATAAAAACAAAATTTTATCGTCAAAATGTTTGTTATTATTAAGAGGAAAGACCATAGTATTTTTTAATTATCTAAAAAAAAAATTTTAAGCCTTTTTAACACATTCGAAATTTTGTTTAAAAATCTTGTTTATTTTTTTTTACGTCATCGAGTGATGACGTAATAATTTTTGCAATTACTGTTTTTGCGCTTTTTTACAGTGAAAAACACATTGATTTGCAAAAATCAAATAATTGTCGCATTTTAATGAAATTTCAGAACTTATTCACAGATGAATTAAATTACTTTTGAAATTTTTGAAATTACACAAAATTAAATTTTCTTTCCATTTTTTTTTTTTTTTAGGACTCCTTGGAGAATGTAAATCATCAAACGAGACAAGCTTGCTAACACACCATGTCAAAGGACCCACAAATTATTTAGGACTTCATAAGAAATTGTAGTTATATTGTGATGTGATGTCTGCAGTACAAGAGGAAAGCATAGATGTGATGTTTTTTGAGAAAAGAAAACTATAGAATGTTTGGGTCAGTGTTTGACCAGCCAAGTTAAAAGTGGGCCAATGAAAACTAGCCATTCCCGCTTTTTTGCCATTTATATTTGTGCCATATTTTCTGAGTTACAAAATGTTGTATTTGCCTGGCAAACCTATGCCTGCTTAATGTAAAAGTTTACTTTTTAGAATTTAGAGTCTAAAAAGTCGACTTGGTCTAAATTTTAGACCAAGTCGACTTTCTTATTTCAGCCACAATTACTGGAAGTTTACAGTTACTGTATTAATTGTGGCAGTGATGAATTAATTTAATAATTACCAACACCACTATAAGTGCAATGACATTGACATTAACTTCATTCAGGATCGTGGAACAGTTAAAAATTGTTTGAAGTAAGAATCCCAGACATTTATGTGATTATGTCGGTTTCTCTCGACACTTTCCTGTTGGGATTTTTAACCCTCACCCTGTTTTCCGACGTTGATGATTCGATTAGTCAATAACAACATTGTGATGAATGAAAAGGCAAAATCTATTTGTAAGGAATTATTTCGCTCTACACCGTTTTAAGCTTCTCTATGCAGGCATGACAACGGAAGAAGATTAGCCAATCAAAAGGTTTGTTTCTCTAACCGGATAGTTTAAACAGACAGGGCTTAAAACTAAAAGAAAGATTTAGTACAGCAACATTCCATTTCCCGGAATTAAAGAATTCTAAGCGTTAATTAAGCTATTCGTTTGCACCTTACAGGTATATACTCTTAAAACAGTGTATAATAATAATGAATACTGTCAGAAAAATATCTGATTTTTTTCAACAATTTTTTTTACCACTTATTAGTCATCAACTTTGCTTGTTTCGACAAGAATGGACATGCAAGGCTTCATTAATCAAATTTAAAATTTGAGTGTGTCTGTTAGTGTTTTGATTACTGTCAGTGCATTTCTTCTCTTCAAGAATATCTTGATATTATTACTTTAAAATATGTAAATTTTATTTCAAATTGCAGCTGCTTGTTTTTGCTTGCACTGTTTCTGTGGGTGACTGAAAACATTTTTCTATATGTCCCTGTTGAGTGTTGACGCATTCAAACACAAAACTGGGGTCCTACCGATAGGAGATTATTTTGATTTTGTTAAACTAATTATATTCTGTAATTTCTTTCTCCATCCACTCAGCAATTATTCTAACCGCTAAAATTTGAATCAACAAATAAATATTTTAAAGAGACTAGTAGAGTAGTTTTGTAAATGATCCCCATTCAGTTTGCATTGTGGACTCTGCAAAAATCTCTACTGGTGTTCTTGAAAGTAAATACTTACCGAAATTCCTATCTTCCTGTTCTTTCAGGGATTATAAAATGCTTCGGACTCTATCCACTGTTGATCAAGGTAAGAATTTATTGCTCTTTGATACGTGAATGCTGATTATTTGGATATTATTGCTGTTACCCTATATTATTTAAAATCAATCATTTACCTGTGTTTATCGTGCGAGGCAACTTGATTACCGTTTATCGGGCCCACAGTCCTGGCGAAAGACAACGACTTGAAACTATAAAAACAATCGACAAAATGACTAAAAAATGTAATCTAAACTAAACACTACACTACAGTGACGTAGAAATGAGTTAAAAAAAAAAAAAAACAACTCTTAATTTAAATAAAGGTATTGTCGCTTAATGCTAGAGAGACAGGCACCTTCAATGATCAAACAGTTATATTTTTATTTCTCTCTTTATTCCATTAGTCAACTCTTAAAGTCGTTGTCTATATCGGTCAAAGGTAGGTATTATTCAAACCAGCGAGTTTTACAAATGCTGCTGATTACTTATGATTTTCTATTAAATACCCCTTTGTTTTTATTATTTGAATAAAATTGTTTTAGTTATCATTTTTCATTTGTTAACTTATGTAACTATGACAATTCATTTTTTTTATTGTTGCAGTTAAAAAACTAATGTCATAATGTTCATCCATCATAGTTTAAGTTTATCTTTTGATTTCAGCAATGGAAAACAAATGCGAATTTTTTTTTTTTTTTTTTTTTGAAAAAAAAAATTTAAAAAATATTGATAAATTTGGAGTCATTTTTGGAAATAAAATTAGACATAAAAATAAAATCTATGCCTCATTTAAAAACTAAAAATAAATCCTATTTTTAAGTATAGGAATATATTTGTTAAATGAACAAAGGATGTAGATGATAAAAACTCAAATGATAAATGTTACCTTATGCCGCAGCAATTAATGAATAAACTAATTTCAAGTTACTACGAAACAAAGTTAACCGCTGCCAGTGAGAAGCAACAACAGCACTAATAATTTTACTAGGCATCTTGATAGCTGTAGTGTTTAGTTTACTTTAGCTCATCTCATTGATCAAAATGAGATTTTAATTCATGACAAAATAGTTATGCTAGAGAGCAAAGTGATATGCTCTTAATAAAGGGGATAGAAGTGTTTGAACAACAAACTGATAAGTTTCACTCATTTGGTCGCCTTACATTAGCTCCCAAAAGAAAAGAGGATCTGCAATGAAAATGAATGAGCTGCTTCAATCTTGCCTGAACTCCAGACACTGCCAATATAAAAATTAATTTTTAAAAAAAGTGTAAAATTATATAAAAAATAATTTAAAACCCTTTATATATAATAGAAAGTGTTTATATTACACTTTTGAGGGGAGTAACATAAAAAACTACTAATGAAGCCTTAAAGTTAAAAAATCGCTTGAATAAAATTTGATGTGTAAAAACTGTATATGACACTCAAATTGGTGATGTAAAAAACGCCTAAAAATAGAAGCCTTGTAGTTTATAAAAGAAAAAATGTATAAAATTTGGTTTTCGAATTTCTAAAAAAAAATAAACGCTCAAGTCTGGTCTGAAAACTTTCTAAAATAGTTTGAAAACAGGCATAGTTTACTTTAAAAAGATAAATTTTGTGATTTTTATTTAACCAATGGGGAAAGTTATACGATTTCATAGCATCAAATTTCTGATTCAATCCAGTATCGATTTTGTTTTTGCCTATTTAAGAAGTCTAGCTTGTTAGAGGAGGCTTCCTCTCTTGTCGAACTCTCTGCCTCCGAGTTGAAAGGAACCCAGACGAGGCTATAGTTTAGGGAAATAAACAAACCCAACCTCATGTATAAGGGGGTCTACGGGCAACGCCCCAAAACTGGCCTTGTGCCACATCTTGCCTTGTGGGGAGATTGGTAAATAGAAGCGTTTCAGCGTTCACAAGGTAGATGTCAGCTGGCTCTGGGAGAAAGAAAAGTAAAAAGAAAGACTTCTATTTTGTTCTGGCATTTGATAAAGACAAAGTCACTGCTGCAAAAAGAAAGAAGCTAGAGAAGAAAATTCTACAAATCTGGATAGATATACGTATCTCTATATAGTTGTTAAAAATGTTAAAGTTTGTCACAAAATTAGGGATATTTAACTTTGATTTTGAACTATTACAAACCAGAAATCCAGTGATGCTTGTGAATCAACTCTTCAACTTCAGTCAAACGAATCAAAAAAGTGAACATTTTGTTAATTATAATTTTTTTGAGCCCAACAGGATTGTAATTAAAAGACTTATTGTCTTACCTGACACACACAAATGAAAATTTTATGCAAGCTTGTTTTGTGAATTTTATATTCTGTGCTTTTTTTCTTTTTCTTTTCTCTAAAAAGAAAAAATAAATAAATGTAAATTTCTTTCAAATTTCACGCCAGAGTAAGTCTTGTTTTTCGTTTCAAATTTTACCAAATTTGAGAACAAACTGAAGTTTGAGACAACACTCTCAAGAAAGTCTCATGTAATATTTTGGAGTGTGGCACATATGGTCACTCTGAAACTGTTTTCTTTGGTTTTCTTTCCTGTTGTAACTTTCATTTCTTGTCCATGTCATATCTCCAGCCAAAAAGTGCTTTCCATGATTATTGAACTTACAGGTTTTCATAACATGTGAGTGAAATGTATTTGTATTTGTTTATTTTTTTGTCGTAGCATCCAAAGCTCAGGCTTTCATCCTTTCTCTCTTTTATTTTTGCCATGGAATAAAAAAAATATTGACTTTCTTCTGTTAATTAATAGTAGGGTCTGATCCACTTAATTACCATCTCATCAGAATCCTTGATCAAGTGATATTTTCGTCACTAAATGACCAAGAAAGTCAATCCACATCAAAGTTTCAAGCAATAAAAAAATGTATTCTTTACTTTGTTAATGACATTGTTGGAAAAGAAATATATTGTTCCGTTTGTTTGTTTGTCTGTTTTTTTTTTTGTTTTGTTTTAACCATTTCTCCTGTTCCAATGAAATGTTATTAAAAGTAAAAAGTGTCAAGAAAATCATACTTTGGTTTGCAAACATTTTTTAAGCTTAACGTTTGAAAAAGTTTTACTATTTTAATTTTCCAAATACTTCAAAATACCTTCTTTACGTTAAACGGTTAATTCTTTTAATGTTTTCAATATTTTTAGCAAGGCAAATAATCGACTGGTCCACCCTTCTGATAACTACAATAAATTATATTATTCCATAGTCTTTTTGACACCTAAAAATACTTCGGAACTGCTCGAATAAAATGCCATGTGGAAAAAAAAAAGTAACTGAACTCAAACTAGTAGATTTTTTTTCCTCTTTGGACAAAATACCATTGAAAAATTTATAAAAAATGTTGGTGAAACTGAAAACATTTACTCAAAGTTCTTGGTTAAATATAAAGAGTTTTGTCAGAAAATCTTAAAACGGACGTCTACAAGCTGACTTAAGTTAAAAATGGCATTTATACACGTATTACAGTTAAGCAAGGGAAATAACTATCTAACACTGACGAGCGAGAATTAGTTCGTTCTTCTAAAAAGTCATAACTTCAAATAAACAATAGATTAATTAATAACTTGTCTATAGTTGTAGATAATTTCTACCTGAATTTCTGGAATGAAGAGTTATATTTATTTACACGTAAATGATTGTCCCCATTGTTTTCACAACGTTTTGGCCGTTGCACCCTCCATTTATCAGGTGATCGTCGATCAGAATAACCTTCTTAGTGACTTTCAAACTTTCTATGAGGATAGATAGATTGTACTCGTTCACTGCCTATGTCCGTCCAGGGATGTCCTCTCTAGTTCTGCCTAGTAGATTAAAAAATAAAGGCTTAAAAATCCAATATTTATCCTAGATATGTTTGAAAGTCAATCATTAAATTTAAGTATTAATTAAAAAAGCGGATTTTGTAAAAACAATGTTCACTTTTTTTTTTTCTTTAACTAAATGAAAATCATTACGCACGATAGCCTGTGGGGTCAAAAATAAAAAAAAATGTAAAATTAAACCTCCTGACTTAAAAAGTGCGAAAAAGAAAAAGTATTTTATTAAAGTATGTAAGCACCAACTAGAAAAATTTATTTTTGGAACTTTATTGAATTAGTTTTGGTGAGATTTGGGACAAATTTTCCATATGTTCACACTTAATAATTTCTTACAAAAATAACATCGTCAAGGATTTTTCTTTATATCAGAAAAAGTTGGCAATCACTTCACAAATTTAAAAAAAAAATACACCTGAAACCCCACAAAGAATATTTCCCCAAAGTTTTCTAATAAAATAATCTGTAGAGTATACAATTCATTCATTAATGAATAAATATTGAAAATTCCATTGTTTTGGCAAATATCTTAAAAACTGATGATATTAATTTTTGGAAAAAAGCATCCATTTTAGTTGTACTTAAAATACTTGCCCAGGGATTGAACACTCAATTATTGTCACCAAATTCACAAACCAAAGCTTCAATCCACTAGGCTACTAGAGGGATAATTCAACACGCCAACAGAACTTAACGAAGAACTGTGTGTACTCCATTCCTTGCAGTTGTGGCAAAAAAATATAAAGGCAAAACTAGTCGCCCCTAAAAAGTAAGGTTGGAGGAACATTGAAAAGTCATATTTAGGAGTGAGACAATGAAACCAGAAATTTGGGATTGTGAGTTCAATCCCTGGGCCTGGTAGTGTGTGCTTAAACTCAGTGGAAATTTGGTGAGTAATAACTGATCAGGAGTAAAGAACTACACAAAATATTTAGTATGTATGAACAGCAGAACGATAACAATCTACCTCCGTCGAATAAAGGCTTTATTTTGAAATTCCCTGAAGGTTTCCTGAATTAACAATAACCTAATGAAGGCTGGGGGCACATCATCTGAAACATTGTAACTACAATAAGATGGAAAATAGTTCACACAAACTCATCCACAGGTATTTATATTATTTATCATGATCAGTTATACATCCCATGTTCATCTATATTAACATATGAACACATTTGAAAAGAAAGAATATGGATTTTTAGTGTCTATATAACTAATCTTTTTAGTTAATTCTTTGAGTTC